AAGGAATTAGAGCAAGCTCCATCGCTGTCCCCTACCTGGGATTGAACCCGGGACCTTCCAGACGGGAGCTAGACGCCCTTCGCTCCGCTTTCTGCCATCTGGTTCTCGTCAATCCCGCTTTCGCGGCACTTCACAGATTCACCACGAGGTGGCAGCAACAGCCTACGCGTTTCCACGTCTTTCTCTCCGGCGCGTTAAACCGGGCGCCCGGTTTGCCAAGAACTCGGCAGCGACCTCGGGCGAGATCAATTACTTAAAAACCGCTTAATCCTTTATCTCGCATACGGGATTGTAAACAGGGGCTTTACGCGAAGGAAAACAGACCTAATAGGATAGGGAAAGGTTACGGAGGACACAATTTCGTCGCCTACCCCAGAAACCTGCGTTTTATAGACATAGAACCAGCAAAGAATGAGAAAAAGCAAGCTCTAGGCACAAATATGTCCATCTGAAGTCTAGTGTAAAAAAAATACCCGGACTATTTTTCTAGCCTTGTTGATTACGCGATTGTGGCCACGTAAATGGAACGGGCGACCAGGGCCTGAACCGAGTAATTTGCAATTAACTGGGGGTTGAACTGAGTAATTTCTAGTTAACTGGTGTATCAGCTGACGAGCTCACGATGTGCGTGGACGGTATGTGGCCAGATGAAATGTGACGTGGACTTGGGAAGATAACAAAAAGCAGATAACAAAAACCATAAACCGTGGATCCGCGACAGCAAACACTGAGGCACTTAGAAAAAAAGACGTTACCTGTAGATGGTTATGTCGAAACGTCATTTTAATCTTCTAGACAATGTGGAGGAGTAAAGAAGGCACACCAAAAAAAACCCGTTAGGACACATAGTTAATAGCATTGAACTGAAATCGGTGGGTGTTGTGTTAAAATGTACAATGCACTAGTAATATTTCATTTAAAATGTTTTGTACAATGTTGGTCACCCAGCAGAAGGGCACCTGGACACAGTCTGGCCTTTAAGGAACGTCCTGCTCAGGCTGAAAGGGAGAAGACTTCTGGAGACCTGATTCAAGCAGTCAAAAATCAACAAAGCTAATGACTAGGTCAACCCAGGGGACTTCAGAGGGCTTCTCCCTAAAAACACGACCGGTGAAACCGCGAAGACGTGTATTGAAAACTAGGAAGAGGAGGCGCGCGTTTACACAAAGAGTGGCGGTGGTCTGCACCAAGACCCATGGCCGTCTTACCCAGCCGATCCACTGGCTGCCCTCCAGAAACCGCGAGAGCGGAACCACAGATCAATTAGCGTGTGACTGGAAGGGCCGAAGGCTCTGGTTCGAAACCTTTGCCATTACTCATCAGAGCGCAAGATGGACCTCAGATATGTGGATAAAAGCGGATTTTTCAATGAAAAGTTGAACTTGCATTTTTTCAGTTTCAAAACTGCAAACTTTTGTAAGGATGAATGTGGTCACAAATAAGCTTGTTTCTTGATCATCAACGCAACAACAAAAATAACTACTACATGGGTGGCACGTGGTGCATTGGTCAGCATTGCT